CATGAAGAACTGCCTCCCATGAGAGGGACCCCATGCTGGAAGTGTGCAAGGAGACTTCCCCCTGAGGAGGAAAGAGGGGTAGAAACTATATGTGAGGGACTGACCACAACCCACATCCCCTGTCCCCCTGCATGGGAGGAGTTGTAGAAATCAGGAGCAAAGCTGGGCCCATGAAGGGAATGGTGGGAGGAAAGTGTTTTTAAGATATGGTTATACTTTTCACTGTCCTACTCTGATTGTTAAGTGGTGGTGGTGGTGGTGGTTGAATTAAATTGATGTTATTTTTCTTTCCCTATCAGGTCTGTCTTTTGCCCATGACCATTATCCCTCCTTGTCCTTATGTCAATTCCTAAGCCTTTTGCTTTATTTTTCCTCCTTTCCATTCCCAAGGGGAGAAAGGGTGAGCAAGTGGCTGCGTGGTACTCAGTTGCCCTCTGGGCTTAAGTCATGACACCTGCCATTTGTCATAGACTGATCAAGACTGCACAGGAACAGGGTGAAGCCCCAGAATACCTGCAATACATTGATGACAACATCATACAGGGCAACACAGCAGAAGAATTTTTTGAGATAGAGCAGAAAATAGTTCAGATCCTTCTGAAGGCCAGTTTTGCCATAAAACAAAGTCAGGTCAAGGGACCTGCACAGGAGATTCAGTTTTTAGAAATAAAATGGCCAGACTGGTGTTGTCAGATCACAGTGAATATTATAATCAAAATAACAGTTCTATTTCCACTGACCAACAAAAATGAAACACAAGCTTTCTTAGGCATTGTGGGTTTTTCAAGGATGCATATTCCAGATTACATTCTAATTGTAAACCCTCTCTATCAAATGACCTAGAACAAGAAGGATTTTAAATGGAGCCCTGAACACTGACAAGCCTTTGACCAAATTAAATGGGAGAGTTCATGTAGTAGCCCTTGGACCAGTCTGTGCAGGACAAGGTGTTAGAAATGTGCTCTAAACTGCAGCCAGGGAGAATGGCCCTATGTGAAGCCTCTGCCAGAAAGCACCAGGGGAGATCTGAGGCCAACCCCTAGGGTTTTGAAGTCAGGGATACAGAGGATCTGAGGTCCACTACACTCCAACTGAAAAAGGGAGATTGGCAGCATATGAAGAGGTTCAAGCTGCCTCAGAAATGGTTGGTACTGAAGCACAGCTCCTCTTGGCACTCTGATTGCCATTGCTGGGCTGGATGTGCAGAGGGAGTATTGTCTGTACACACCATGCAACCAATGCCACGTGGAGTAAAGTGGGTCGCACTGATCACACAACGGGCTCAGATTTGAAATCCCAGTTGCCCAGGAATTCTGGAAGTTATCACAGAAGGCAAAGATTTCAGAATATCGCCAGAGGAGGAGGTGATGGATGCTGTATGGGCCCCACTGTATAATAAACTGCTAGAAAATGGGAAGCAATATGCCCTGTTCATTGATGGATCCTGTTGCATTCTGTGAAAGCATTGGAGATAGAAGGCTGCTATATGGACTCCTATACAACAGGTCATAGAAAACTTCTGAAGGAGAAGTTGAATTGAGCCAGTTTGCAGAAGTGAAAGCCATCTGTCTAGCTTTAGACATTGCCGATCAAGGAAAATGGCCAGTGCTCTATCTCTATACTGACTCACAGATGGTGGGAAATGCCCTGTGGGGGTTGTTCCAGCAATGTAAGCAGGGTAACTGGCAGTGCAAAGGCAAACCCATCTGGGCTGCCCTATTGTGGCAAGATACTGCTGCCAAGCTAGAGAAGCTGGTTGTGAAAATATCTCACATAGATGCCCACATACTTAAGAGTAGGGCCACTGAGTAATATAAAAAAGAAAAAAAAAAAGCAGGTGGATCAGGTTGCTAAGACTGACGTAGCTCAGATGGATCTGGACTGGCAACATACGGGTGAATTATTTCTAGCGTGGAGGATCCATGACTCCTCAGGTCATCAAGGAAAAGATGCAACATAAAGATGGGCTATTGGCCATGGAGTGGACTTAATCATGGACACTATTGCACAAGGTTATTCATGAATATAAAATGTTCTGCTGTGAAGCAAACCAAGCAGTTAAAGCCTCTGGTATGGAGGACGATGGCTGAAACATAAATATGGGGAGGCCTGGCTTATTGTGTATATTGCACTCCCACAAATATGCCAAGGCAAGTGCCATGTGCTTACAATGGTGGAAGCAACCATTACACCATTCCAGTGGTGGATTGCTGGAAACATTCCATGCCCCATGCCACTGCTTAGAACAACACTATTGTGGACCTTGAAAAGCAAGTGTTACATGGTATCTCAGAAAGAATTGAGTCAGTGGGACTCATTTCTGAAACCACCTTATAGACATCTCTGCCAAAGAGGATGGTCTTGAGTGGCTATATCGCGTCCCCTATGCACTGGCCTCCAGAAAAACTGAATGATACGGTGGACTACTGAAACTACACTGAGAGCAACAGGGGTGAGACTTTCAGACATTGGGATACACATTTAGCAAAAGCCACCTCATTAGTTAACACTAGAGAATCTACCAATTGACCTGGCCCTGCTGAATCAAAACCTTCATCTACTGTAGAAAGAGATAAAATCCCTGTAGTGAAGAATATGTTAGGAAAGAACATCTGGGTTAGTCCTGCCTCAGGCAAAGGCGAAACCATCTGTGGGATTGCTTTTGCTCAAGGACCTGAGTGCACTTGGTGGGTGATGTGGAAGGATGGAGGAGTTTGATCTGTACCTCAAGGGGATTTGATTTTTTAGTGTGTCATGAATGGAAGTCTTAACACGGTAATGATTTATTAACAAATCAAGACTTATTAATGACTAGCAACACTTAATTATTAACTAATTCAAAGATTTACAAAATAATTAAGTAAAATATAATTAAAACTTAACTACAGATTTGAAGATAACAAGATTCACACTAATATGAATCACTCTCTGTGATACCTTAAATCAGTACATACATACATACATACATACATACATGTGCATTCACAAACACAAGATGTACAGACATATGAAAGTGTTTGGATCCAGTAAAATATGTATCTACCCACACTTGTGAAAATAGCTGTATATACCCAAACACAGTGGTAGGCAGAGACAGAGTGGATGAAAGAGAAGCTAGCTCAAGTCAAAATGTCCCTATTCTTGAGTTTAGGGTAAATACAATGCATTTGACGCGTCCCAACTCAGATGAGATGCTGGTCACAGGCCTGCTGTGATCCAGAAGAGCTCAAAGGGTCTCCTTGGGGTTGCTATTTATAGGGCCCAAGATAATTGGCTTTTGTTAGATACTTTTCACTCTGTCCTAGCTTGAACAATGGGGTATTCTGGTATCTTCCACCAGTTGCACAAGAACTTGATAGATCTGCAATTCTGTTATTGTTCTCCCTTGACCACATCCCAGGTACAGGTGTACCAGGCTGTCAGGAGGTAATGGACTGTTATAACTGTCCCCATGTGACAGGGAGAGCATGAGCCAGGCTTATCAAAGGGGTGCTTTACACACTCTGTTTCACTGGCATTAGGAGCCCTTACCTCCCCAGATTGGTATGTAGTCCAGATGGGGTTGGAATTACACAAGGACCAAGCAACATAACATGGAGGAGACTGTGTGTGTGTGGGGGAAGAATTGCATCACCACAGGGTAAGAATAGACAGTGAATTAAATTGTGTGATGTTAATTGCTAAATAACTCTGCCACTGTATGTCATCACTGCTACAGTTGCTATATGCTGTATCAATGGTATTACAGTAAGAATCACAAATCAGTGAAGGATAGACTTTGATGATACCAAAGGAAATGCAGCAGTGATAAAACTTGAACTGCCTTCAGCAACTGCATCCAGCAACTTCCTCAAGATCAACATCTTCAACCTGCAGACTGTGAGTGTGGGACACACCAGATACGCCAGCCATGAGCTCTGGATGCAGCAGGCAGCAGTCCAACACCACACACCATCTCTTGTGCCCTGAAAGACTGTTACAAGAGATGGAGTCCCCAAGTCATGGTTTAAATTAATTCAACAGACACATTAGAGGCATGGCCTATAGGCTAGGGGAACGATAGCTGACCTGAACTAGCCAGAGGGATATTTGCTACCATGTGATGGTCATGCTGAGCGTATAAACTGGGGGAGCTGACCAGGGGGTGGAGGGATTGTGACTCAGGAACAGGCTGAGCATTGGGTTCCAGGTGGGGAGTAATTGCATTGTGCATCACTCACTTTATATATTGTTATTAGCATTATTAGTATTATTGGTATTATTATTCTCTCTCTCCTTGTGCTGTCCTGTTAAACTGTCCTTATCTCAACCCATGAGTTTTTACCTTTTTTTCTTGCAATTCTCTTCCTCATCCCACTGCAAGTGAGGAGTGAGTGAGCTGCTGTGTGGTGCTTAGTTGCTGGCTGGGCTTAAACCACATCAGTAGTGGTTTTAATATACAATAACCCATTCTCCATTTGGATTGAGGAGTATTGTCCAAGTTTTATCTTTCCTTTGAATTAACCATTACCACAGATTGTGTTGCTTTATAAAAGTTATTTGTAGAGAAAAATATGCAGATCACTTATAACAGAAAGTATCAGTTTGTATTTTTGTTATTTCTAGAGATGAATACAGCCCAGTTACTGTTTCTGTGTATTTATGTAACATGTACTTCAGGAGTTGGAAGGCTTCTGTCTTTCATAAAGCATCTTATAAATTAGCAATAAGGCATTAATTGACAGAACTCATCACACAATCTGGAAAAAGTTTTCTTGCTAGGACAGTCTGCAGGCAGAGCAGATCTGTAACTTGTATGTATACAGAGGCTAGTGTGGGATCGTTAATAATATGGGTTAATGATATAAAGGCATATCCACAAAAAAACATCACCAAGCACTGAGTAAGGTAGTTTAAAGAATAATGCTCCATTTAATCTTCAGAAAAAAATAATACAATGTTCCCAAATGTATACAGCTTGTATATTCACAATGTGGATTTCTGAAATCTATGTCTTACAGGTTAAAAACAGTAATAGAAGAACTGATCCAGACACAGCAAACCCTTTTGAGCAAAGAGGAACTTGTGTTGGAACTGGAGAAAAAGATAGAAGAGTCTTCCAAGACTTGTGAAAAGAAGTCTGAGTAAGTCAAAATGAAATTTTTTTGAAATATTTGAAATAAATTGAGGGAAAAGCATCTATAATGCAATTCCTAAGACTTAAATAAGAAATAACTTCCATTTATCTTGTTCTGCTTTTGTGAGTAGTGATTATTGTGAAAAACAATAATGTTTCCCATCTCAAAAATAACCCTTACCTACTGCAGGTCCTAATTAATTTGAGAACTGAGCAGCTCCATTAGCTTAATATAATTGCCATAGTGTTGGGACCGCTCAAGAAATGGACCTTTGGTTAGTATTATAACTTTAGATTGATGGAAGGAGTCAGTTCAGATTGCCTCTCTGACAGAGTTCACTGTGTACGTATAATTTTTGTGAAAGACTTTTTGGAACTCATCAGATTAAGTTCATTCTTTGTTACATTTTCTTTATGAAACAATATAAAGCTGATACCCTGTAGTACTGCATAGTAAATAATGAAGGCAAGAGATTAGTGAGTGGTTTATAGTGCCATAAATAAAACATTGTTATAGCAAATTATACTTGGGCAAGATCTTTAGGGTTTTTTTCTACCCTGGTTAGAAAAAATATTCACATTCCAGTCTAAACTGAAGTTAATACAACACATAAATAAACATTCTGTCTGTAGTGATATTTTTTCTGATTCTTGTTGCAGTCATAACCTTACTAACTTGGTTATAAATATTAGTTTACAGTACCAGAAAATTGGAATGCAAGTCCTCAGGTAATCTTGTCTTCATTCCCTGAAGAAGTCTTGAAGCTCTTTGTTGAAAGCATCTTATCACTTTATACATTGGATAGTATTTCATTCATATAAAAAACTCTGTGTATGTATATGATATCAATGTTTTGATTAGGTACTTTCATGTTCTTTCTCTGGTGAGAAGAATGTACTCAGAAGATTGTATTCAGTTTATTTTCCATTTTTTTTATTCTTGACCTACCTTCCTTGTTGCATGTTACTTAAAAGGATGAACTGTATTTGAACTATATGAGTGAGTTTGATGGGGTTTCTGTCTCTGAGAATAGTTCAGACCATCGCTGTGTTTCTTGCTGTGGGTAGGCTCTTGTGACTGATTCTGCAGCAGATGTTTGTGATATTGAAGAGATGATTTCAGTTCAGACTGTACCAGTACCTGTAGGTATTATTAAAAGGCATGAAATCTGGCATAGTTTTCTGGTTGTAAGATAAATGTTTCCCCGAAATCACCCCAGTTCTTTTTTTGTGATCAGTCCTGCCTTCCTCCAACAGACCCTGTTTTCACCTTTTAACAGCAGTGCAAAGGGATCAGTATGCTTTTGCTCATACTTGCGGTCCCTAGAAGACCTTGTCTGTGTTCTTGACTGCTGTCATAGCATATGACACTGGTCTCAGTGCTGCAAGGCAAGGTGAAGTGTAAATGTAGTTGACCAATAAATGAAAGCTTGATTTTTGAGCCAGATGTCATTCATTTGGTGCAAAGCAAGTCTTTTCCAGAAAAGAAAGTGAGGAACTATACTCCAAATGCAAGAGCTCTAGACCATATGTTATTGTTGAGCCTCATCCGAAGTGCTGAGCTTTACCCTTCAGTGCTGAAGAAATCTCATCTGTTTTATCTGGACAAAATGATGGTAAAAATCTGCAAAATCAAGTTTTCTGTATTCTCACTTGAACCAGTTTGGACTTCAGCTCTCTCCCCACTTATTCCTGACACAGCTTCAGTACCACGGGTTCTGAGTTGTTCACTGACTTTGCAGTGGCAATCTGAGCTGAGGCTTCAAAGCATTTATTGGTGTCTAATTCTGGCAGCACTACAAATTGATCTTTGTATATGCACTTTTCATTAGGCTGTGTGCAGAAGTGTATCTCCAGGTCTCTGATTTTGTCTTCCTCCTCAATATGTAGCTGTATTGGTACTAATAACCTGGCACCAATATCCCTTTCTGCCTTCAAATGATTATACCACCTGCAACACATAGAGTGTTTTAATTATATTTCATTTATATATGTTTATTGTCAAGCATACCATAAGCACTTGTGACATGATAGCACATTGAATATTTGGGGTTTGATTCGATTCACCTTTTTACCACTTACTAACCTGTTGCCCTGTTCTGGTCTTGAAAGGATTCTTCACACAAGATCTGACTCTCTGAGGTTGCTGTAACTCTTGCTAGCCACAAGGACTATAAAGGCTGCACTCATGCAAGACATAGGCAAATAATTTCATAGGTTTTAGTTACTCTTTCATAGGTGGAATGGGGATCATTCAGTGTCAGTTGTCTGTAAACCAATTAGGCGATAATCCATCTTGCCACAGTTTAGGAACTTGTGACTTTTAACTTGCAGGGTATGTTTTCTTGTCTCCGGATCATGATGAGTTGAAACCATTCAGTGTTTGGGATGTTCTCGTTCTAGTCAGTGTATATTCACCAAAGCCTTGCTGATGGTGGAAGGCTATCATTTTCATAGGTCAAACTCTTTTTTTTTCTCCTAATGAGGACCAGATGAACAATTATCCTGACATTATCCTCAAGATAATGTTCTTCCATTTCTTCATGTGATGCTTTTAAATGTGTGCAGTCTTGTGTCAGACCTCAGTTTCAGGTCCTCTAATTGTGTCTTCATATATCATAGCTTTCTTTCTTGTCATCTCGAAAAATTGATACTCAGATTTGCTGATTCCTAGGTCAGGATTAAGTTGAAACCACACCAAGGATCCTTCAATTCACAAAACTCAATTTTTATTGGCTCACAACAGATAATTGGCATGAAAACTAAGAAACCTCTGCAACAGGCATTAAACTGCCGACTAGTGGCAGATTTTATAACATACCCCAATAAGCCTTAAACATGCCCCGACAAGTCTTGCCTTATATGCGGGCATACAGAATAAGAATGGGAGAGAAAAGGGGAGAGAGAGAGACTAAAAGGAAGATTTCATCAGTCCTGCTTCCATCGTCGGTCCAGCCAGCCTAGCAATCCCGTTCTGGAGGGGTGCAGCTACCCACAACGTTGACTTTTGTGCTTTTATAATTCCTTGCCCCGCCTCCGGGTTGAGCACTTGAACTCGTTAGGCTAATTACGCAGTTTATTTTTCTAGAATGCTTCTTGCTTTCGGTACATGCGCAGCTTCTATCTTCAGATGATTCTGGGTGAGTCGGCGTGCTTGGGGGTCGCTGGGGAGTTACTCCCCCCTCCCTGCAGGTGTGACCGTAGTTTGACCTTTCCTTTTAGCACACAGGTCATGAAAACGGCTTCTCTATTGGCTCTTCACAGTCACTTGAGATAGGGAAGTTCAACCTCTGAAAAGTGTGGTACCACCTCCACAGTACCCCTCCTCTTGCCTCTCCTGCCTGCCATTGCCTGCAGAGCTCCGGCGTTTCTATAGAATCCATTTCCTTTGCCAAAGCGTGGCTGAAGTACTAACTATGGTTTCATCGGACCGTCACGCTTCTTATATGAATGATCATTCTGCTTGTTGCATGGAGTTCTATTCTTTGGTGATTTAGTACAATGCTCATCTGTAGGGATATGATTTTTATCTTTCCTGCCAATAAGGGTTTTATTGCAGATGGTTCCTTATCACTTTGGAACCTCTTGGAATAGTCATGTGGCTCAGCATCTGTTTGTAAAGGACCAGTCTCAGTATGAAAGATTTTCAAATTTCTTTTTTTCTCCAAGGGTAGGGCTTGCAGGAGGGTCTGTCTCATCGGGGTTATTCGGAAGCTACGGAGTGACAGAATACTGTCATTCTTCATGGTTCGGCTCCCTCTACCTCCTTCATCTGTTCTCACAGACTGAGAATTCTGTATAAACCATGTGTCACTGGGCTCCAGCTGAGTGCTTTTAAGGGTGTCTGTGTTGTACTGTGGATGGTTCTGTCTTTTAGGTAGCTTTTGTCCATCTTTTGTTTTGGCAGTTCTTGAGCATAATAGTCATCTAGGTACCTGCAGATGTTTTAAGAGGTATGCTTGTCCTTCAGTAATGGTTGAATTATGTTATCTGTCTAGGAGTATTAAGGGGTATGAGGAGTATTCAGAGAAGAGCTGTAAAAACATGCAGAAGACAAGAAAAAATAGCTTTTAATTATTGAGTTCAATTTATTTAGCTTTATAAGAAGAATATTAGACTGCATTCCAGAAATACTTTGGCAGTAGAGGACATTTCAGTCCAGAAGAGACAATAGATATCTGACTTGATACCAGGTGAACTTATACTGAATATAATGTGGGTTTAATAGTGCAAATTATTATTACAACACCTGTGTGGATTGCAGTAGATTTCTCATCACTGGAAATCATAATCTAAAAATGCATTTCTTCTCTAAAAGTTGAGGAACTCCAGTGTTTTTAAATTCAATTAAAAGTGGATGAAAATATTAGTTTCATTTTTATTTTTTTACAACATGATTTTTGTGATAGCTTGAGAAAAGAGAATAGCAAAGCAGGTGTTTGCTTGCACTGTCTTGTAGCTTTGCAGATTTTCTAGAATTGCTTCATGTGTTTATGTCTTTGAACAAATAATTCTCGAGGAATTTTCATGCTTTTTTTTTTTTGTAGCTTTTACAAAAAAAAAGTATGTGTATTAAATTAGGTATATTTTTAAATTGTTTGTTTTTTTTTCTCTGCAGTATTGTACTCTTGCTGAGCCAAAAACAAGCCCTGGAAGAACTTAAGCAAACAGTTCAGCAATTAAGATGCTCTGAGGCAAAATTTGCTGCCCAGAAAGAACTACTGGAACAAAAGGTTCAAGAAAATGACGGGAAGGAGCCACCACCTGTAGTGAATTATGAAGAAGATGCCCGATCAGTGACTTCTATGGTGAGTTTTAAATCTGTTTTACTGAATTGGGCAGCCTTGCTATTGTTTTTCAGTCCTCAGATCAGAGTCTCAGGATATTCACAAGGATTGCAAACTTCACTTTACATTAGCAGAGACCTGTTTAGAAAAACAGTTCAGTTGTGTGATTTTTAAATTTATTTATTTATTTTTTATTTCAGTAACTTTTAACACAGTCTGTATGTCTGTGGGTTTGGTTTGGTCTATACACTTAATGTTTATGTTCTCATTAGACTTGTATAATCAAAAGTGTAAGTTAATATACAGATTTAGTAAACATGACTGATTAGCTATTGGTAATTTCATTGGATGTGTTAAAATACATACACAGTTGCAGATAGAAAACTAACAGTAAAAGCTGTTGGAATCACTTCACATTGTATAATTGAAAAAATGAATTTTACATACTGAATTGTTCTTCTCTTTAAACAGAAACAAACACTAGTTTCTTCACAAGTTATTTTTAAATGTTTACATGCTCTTAATAATCAAAAGGAACTTTTTGTTCCATGGTGAAACCCCATGTAACTTAAATAAGTACTAATATTTTGTGTGACTTCCTTTTCTCAATTATATGCAGCTATGTGTAGAGATAGTAGGGTGTTTTAAAAAGCAAACAGAGTACCTGTTTACTGAAGGGACAAGCAGTAGTGTTTGTGTTTATGAATTGGTTTGACACATATGAGATGCTTGTGACTTACTTCCTTTAGAGGTTTAGCCTGCCATTTCTTTTGGCCCACAGAGCAGCAGCTCAGTAAAATGATACTGAAATGGTTGTTTCTAGAGGAATGCATTTGTTTTCTCTATTTGCAGAACCAAGTTTGTTTTTTCTTCCATTCCCATTCTACGGTTATACTTAATTGTCAGTATTCTCTTTCTTCCACTACTACTGTTTAATATTTACAAGGCACTAGCAGGTGGTTGCTATTTTCCCTGGTACAAAACTTTATTTTACAAAGCTGGTATGCTTGTCATGATATAGGAGGAGTTGATAAAGCACAAAAACATGGAGAAGGAGAAAGGAAGGATCCAGGATAACGATTGTGAAAGATTAGGGGGCTTGCAATCATTTTGGATTGGCTATCTTGTTAGTAATGTCATGTAATGTCTTGTTAGTAATGTCATGTAATATCCTTTAGTAGTGCTAGTGAATATTATCTGTAAGGGTTAGTTGAGATCATGAGTCTGAAAGACTGAAATACCAAGAAAATGGTATTCTTCTACTTCAGTTCAAGATTACTAAAAGTGCTCTTCTGGTGTCCCAAGTCTCTCTTTCAGTGGGTGGGAGAAAATAATCCTTACATATGTGTACAATACACAGTGAAGAATTACTACCTGATAATTTTTTTGAAATAAAAGTTATAATGTATCATATTTTTTTTCTGGAGGAGGTACATACTGAGATTTCTCAAATGATGCTAGAAATACATTTTTGCATATATTATATGTTCTGAGAGTAAGAAAAATGTCACTGTTTTGGCTTTGGAAGATTTAGTCTCATAGTTTGTACACACCATGAAAAATAATGGACTGTGACTTAAGTGGTTGGTGATTTCTCTTCAGTAAGTTATATAAGACAGACAAATACCCCTTTTGTTTAACTATTTACTATCCTGTGCTAGTAAAATTGACTAAAAAGTGATAGATACAACTGAAGACTAAAGTTTTTTCAAATTGCTTTACCTTGAGATACAGTCTTGACTGTATCTCAAGATGAAAAAATAATACATTGATGTGCTGTTTGTATAAATAAACAACCTGGTGATTTTTGTAAGGGTTTTTTTAAAGTAAAACTTCTTAAAATTATAGAGCTGCTGAACAATCAGAAATTAACTGTTCTTGCTGTTGATTGCTCATCCTGGTATCATACAAGAGGATCATTGTTTCTTCAGCTATAAATCTATTTAGGTTTCTCCTCTTTATCTAAAAGCAGTTCATCTAAATGTTGCCTGATACTACATTTGAGAGGGGTTATTTATTTCTCCTCAGAAATTCATCATAAATACTTGTTTTGCAAACTCTTTTTCTAAGAATGACAAAATCTTAACTGACTTTTGTTGTGAGTATGCATATGAGGTACATTTTCATGTATTCAGTCACAAGTGGATTTCTTTTTTTTGTAATTTACAATTATAAGTATGATAATAAAAAATAACTTTGTAAAGTTTCATGTCTATTTATATGGTATCATATAAATACAGCCAATTTAGTAGTGGAATAATTTGCAGATTCTCTTTTGCATCTCTTACATTAGGTAACAGTGCAATAGAATACTAACAAGGAATGAAATTCTAAAATGCTGTTTGATGTGTTTTTATAGACAGTCTTGTTACGTGAGTTATAACTTAATTTCCTTGTTCTTTTTTGCCTCTGTTAACTGTAGTAACTTTCATATTTTGTTAGTCTCTTTCATATCGTTTGGTTTGGTCAATATATTTTATTGTTTGTAGAATGTTAGATGTGTATTGGTGGTCATGTACACATTTTAAGAAAAAAGGTAATTGCTAGATGATTCTGTTTTTCTTAATTTTGATAGCATAACAAGGAGCTAAAAAAATTCTGGTTTTGGCCATTCCTGAACATTGCATTTACAATTTTGGCATCATATGTGGAAAAATAAAACATGTTTTCTTGTTTCTAGCATTTATACATTTCTACTGAGGTAACTGGGCAAGACACAGATAATTTTAATGCTGAAGGTGCTTCAAGTTTAAAATAATGTCTTGAGCCCCTTAGAGTTTATGCAGTTACAATACTATGTGCTATGTAATTGGGAGAATCATAGTTAACTTTTTCTTCTGTACTTATGGTATGGAGATAGATACTGCTATTCCTTGTAAAAAACTGTTCCTTTACCACAGTGCTATAGTATCCAAATTGTTATGTCACTTTACAAAAATTAACCAGCAACTGGAAGCTTGAACTTCTTAGCGTTTAGATGTTTAGTCAGTTATGGCCTGTCATCTGTCTTAAGATACATATACTGTTCTTGCTATTAATATGATCAACAAAGCATGGCAGTATTCCACCCTAATTAAAACAAAGAAACCAGCAACAACAAAACTTTTATATATCTAATGATCTGAATGTTTAGAAAAAAAAAAATCTGGAATATTTGGAATATTTCAGTGCCAGTTAAATATTTACTCAGGTAATTAAACAATGATGGTGGTTTGCATTTCATAGTAAGACTTTAAAATTACAGCATCAGTATTGACTTGGAAATTGTTACAGAATAGGAGATCTTCAGGGAGTGCTTAAGCCTGGACAATAGATTTAGGTAATATAAATTAGTAACTCATTTTGTTTAGCAATAATACAATGAAATCTTTATGCCACTTTAATATGTCATCGCCTTTTTCTTTACATGATAAAACCAGAGCCTATAAAGGTACAAATCCATTATTTTTAAGAATATGTATTTAAAACTGTATGGTTTTCTCAATATATATATGTTTCATATAGATTTATTTTGCATACTGTAGCATTATACTGGAACCATTAATAAAACTGAGACTTGATATGCAGGCTGTGCAATACTTGAAAGACTTGTCAGCAGGTGGAGCTCAGTGACAGAAGACTAGTTATGACTGAATAATCAATATTTTTCATCATTACATATGTTTAAAAAAGACATATGAGACAGAAATATGGAAGAAAAAAATGTTCATTCTCATCTATCTAACATCTAAGTAATCTGAAATAGTGGTGTGGTTTGGTTTTGTTCTGATGTTCTTGATTTTTTTTTTCACAAATAATAAAATACGACTGTAGCATAAACTCTAATGCATAGTCTTCCACCACATGCAAGACAGCTAACAGATCTGTGCAGCAGTACTGCCCATGGAGCAACAGTACAAAGTCACTGTTTCTTTAAGATAAACCAGCCTTTGGTGAATATTGTGGTATATTTTAAAAAAGTTCTCAGTGGTTATGGAGGAAAAAATATTAAAGGCATAAAATGGTGCTAAAGTTCTAATATTTGTAAATTATTCTGAAAGTACCTTTCTGTTTTCCTAATGTGAATGCTTTATATTTCCATCCCTGCTTTGTGGAAGCCATGACCCACTGCTCCTAATAGTGTGATCAACAAACCAATAGTTCTCAAGTTTGGGTTTCAGGATTCTCACTAAAATAATAATTGACAAATTTAATCAATTTATACGTTTTGAATTTTTAAAGTCAGTTACATAGATATGAAAGGATTTACAGGATTTGGTTATGTGATTAAAGATGTTTTATTAAATGCATTTTAGATGACCTGACATAAGGCCCTGAAACATAATTTGCTGAGATGTACCCACACTCTAGGGGGTCTCCTTCTCCCATAATGTTACAGGCTATATAGTATCTTTATTTTTGAACAGATACAGGGAAGACAGTTAACTTCTGTGACAGCCCATTGTAGCAGCAGCAGAAAGCTTGATGGTAGAGATAAAAATGTTACTCTTTTTTCTTACTGACTCAGAAGAATTGAGGCATTCCTATGCTTTGTAATGCATTGCCAAACAGCTCCCTTGTTTATCTGTCCATGTGAGCAATCCTCTACTAATTTGTGGCTCATGACATTGATATAAAACTAATATTATGTGAGGGCATGTGTTAGGTTACTTGATTTATGTATTCACAAACCTTGTAGGTTTCCACTGTGCTATCCCAGGATCTTAAGTTTCTTGTCAATAGAAACAGGGCCAGAGTAAGTCTGTGCAGTGTTGTTATCCTTATCCTTTCTCTTATTTTCATCTCAGTAGAGGAAACAAAGTGCGGTCATGTAGAAATTGCAGCTATTAATTTGTAAACGACTTGGAAATAAACAGTTGTATTTGTTGGGATACCTGGACAGCTTAAGTTCAACTAAGTGATCTTTGCTTTGGGCTGCTTACCTAGCTTGCTGGCTGCTTGCTTGCTGACTTACAGCCAGAACTTACGGAGCACTTATGGAGAACTTATGTTAGACTCCTGTTGATCTCTGAGCATAACAA